ACTTATTAGCTTGATAAAATTCCAGCAAAAAAAAGATATCTATTAGATATTATCACCATTATTACCTCGATTTTACTTGCCAATCATTAAAATTATTAAAAAGAGCTTCTCAGATTCATTTACCAGTTATCATATGCAAACTAACCATTAATAGAAATTATTGTCAATTAATAAAATTTCGAAGTTTTACTATCAAATTTCAAAATTCTCTCATACCCACCTGAATATTTTGCAAGAGATCAGATACTCCGCCTAATATTCCTTGTCTGCTTGCATGTTTCGATTTATCAAAATTTTCATCGTAAACATCGTAATAATCAACAGCGACATCTTCCTTAACCGCTGAGAACGTTGTAGGCTTAATTGATGATGCGGTCGTCTTTGTTAAAGGTTTTGATGTTGACAGTTGTGACGCTGTTACAAATGCGCTTTTCATATTTGTATTTGCGATTAGATTCTAAAAATAAAAATAAAAATAAATAAATTTCTAAAAAAAAAATGATTTTTTTTCATAAAACAATGTTTGTAATAAACGCTAACAAACAAAAATGGGAAAATTTATTTTCCACTTAAAAATGGATTCATAATTCAATTGAAAAATGAATTTTACTCTAAAAAAAATAAAAAGGAAACCCCGGTTTGATATATTTTAACAAAAAAAAAAAAACTCCAGTTTGATATTCTTTTATCATTTTGATTCAAACAGAGCAAGTGCTGGTAGATTTGTTGAAAGCACCAACTGGTAATTAATTATTTCAATTTTTAAAAGGATCATACAAAAATTTTTTTGTACAAATAATAATAACTATTGTCAAATGATGATTCGTAAATTGATTAATCCGATCAAATGGCTCATTTGCATATTTTTAAGTTCTTTGTTACTAACTTTATAAAATATTTATTTAGCTTACCCTTGAACTTCGTATAATTTTTTGCTCATTTCCAAACTGTGGAACTGATGTTTTGGGAAATGTTTGTACATGATTAATGCTACTAAAAAATCTCGATCGTACATCTTCCAGGCGATCCTGTTTCATAAACAACGGATCAACTCGCTGAAAATGTTTGCCTCTTCATGATTGAAATACAACAAAACAAATCGTACTCACTTTTTTAAATTACATCT